TGCATCAGCGCATCTGCGATGATTGATTCCAACACTTTGGATAGTACGGGAAGTAGTGTTATTGGACAGTAGTTAGAAAGCTCAGTGCGGCTACCTCCTTTATAGATGGGAGTGATGAACCATCGCTTCCATACTGGTGGAATAAGGTTCCCTTCTGAACATCGCTGATAGAAAACAGCCAGTGGTTCTGCTAGATCATTAGCTACCGCCTTCAGAGCCTTTGGTGGGATGTTGTCGCTCCGGGAGAACTGTGGGTACGCAAGGATAACAACTTCTTCAGCACAGCTTCCGCAGTGAAGGTGATGTCTAAACCCGACGGTGGAGTATTAGTAATGAGGAGAATGTTTGGGCTCGTTACCTGCTGGAAAGTTTGGGAGTACTGAAGCCGTAGGAGATCAGCTGCTTCCATTGCTGATCGCGTACACCCATCAGCCGTGACTATTGCTGTAACCCTCCGCTTTACCTTTCGAAGGTCGTTAACGTGCCTGTAGAGGAGTTTGCGGTTAGTGCAGAATCGCTTCATTAACTCCTGCTGATGAGTGACCTTGTCTTCGCAGATCAGTTTCACACAGAAGTTACGATGGGTCACGTATGCAATCCAGGTTTCGGCATTCAAGCAGTCCTGGTGATCTCGCCATGCCAAATCCATCCGGAACATATATTTACGTGTTCTGCTCCTCAGAAATGACTAATGCATTTTACGGGTTGGAAGGACTTCTCTTCCGATGCGTGCGCCACCAGTGTGCTAAACGTCCTTGTAAATGTATCCCAGGCAACATCTGGAGGGCATTCGGTTAAGAAAGCCCAAGTTGTATCCTTAACAAGCTTAGATAACACATTGTAGTGCGTAACACTATGCACTTTATCATCCTCCTTTTCAGGGTACTCCGCATAGCGTATATGGTTAAAGAGTAGAGTAACATGATCACGACGACCCAGTGGTGTGCTTGTAACTATCCCGTCAACCATGAGTTCTTCGTTAGTTAGCACAAGCTCTAGTATCGACGGCATGTTAGCAGTTCGAAATCTGGTGAGAGAGGTTATGTGGTTGTACAGAGGGTGGCTAGCAATTAGCTCTTGAAAGCAGGCGTTATACTGCATACCGTCGGTTTCCGGCGTTTCTATGTCGTACACATTAAAGGCTCCAGCGATAAGAATGTGGGTGTAGGACTTGTACAAAGCAAAGTGAAAAACGTAGTTCAGTTTGGAGTCCATTTCCGACGTTGAGTTTGGTGGGCGATAAATCACGGCTAGTAGACATGTGTTCTTGTTTTGTAACCATAGGCGGCACCAAAGCGAGGCAGGAGCTCGAATTTCCGGGTGATCGATAACTTCACATCGGAGGTGTGTATTGCAGTAACGAATCACACCACCACCCCTTCCGGTTCTATCGGTCCGAAGCAGCGACATACAGGGTAAGTTGGTCTTAGAATCGGTTATCTCAGGGTTTAACCATGTCGCTGTACTCATGACAAGGTCCCGCGGTTGTGAAACATGGAGTACTCCAAGTTCGGCCAACTTACTTAGAAGATCTTGTGCGTTTGTGTACATGTAAGATAGGGCTTTTGTTGTCAGGAGTGCGTTGACAGATGTCAAGTTTGCGTTAGTTTTTAAGCCAGCCGTTAGGTGGCCGGCCATTAATGGTTTTTTGTTTTATCTATTTCAGTCATGTTGCATGGCACTGTTGAGCGCTCCTGAGCGGACGTTTCACTCGTGCTTTGCTCTGTTCTGTTGTGTGTCGTGGGCGCTGTTGCGTCGATCTCTCCGTAGGACTGGGCAAATAAAGAAGGTGTAGCGTTTGCAAGTTCCATCGAATTGCCGTTCGCCTGCTGCATTTAGCCGGATCTCTGTTGGCATCCTAGCTCGAAACTTTAACCAGCTATCCACCAAAACTTGCGTCATTCCCTCGGAGTGTAGTAATACTTTCATTAGCCTTGAACCGCAGCCCTTGTAGTTAGGTGATGACGGAACTCTTGTCAGGGATTTGGCAATAACATTGTTAACAGAGAGTGCTTCGCGGATGTAGCACCACTGCTCTCGGTCATGTGTTTGCGCATCGTGGTCCGAAGAACGCAGAATCTCGGGACCACCATGAACAAATATTGTTTTCTTGCTATCCCTATTAGGAATGTCGCGTTGCTCAACTACTTCCATGGGCGATCTTTCCAATGTAGATCAGGTAATATGCGCACTCTGCTCGGTGAGTTGCGCAGACGAACTGCTGACAGCAGGACAGCCTCTGTCTCATCTGCTGAGTTTAGTGCTACTCGAAGAATTCGAGGTCCACCAGAGTGCACTGAGGTCGGGTGACGCGCTACGCGTTGCAGCATTGGAGGCTCAACCCGAATACCAATCGACTCGCAGATGGAACTCCACTGGTTGCGATCGTCTTGCGATTTGCCTTTTATTGTGCGGGATTTGGATTCGGGAACATTGGTGCACACGAGAGTTAAAACAGTGTGGTTTTGTCTAGCGAGTGTTGGCTTTATATTTTTGCTGGCAATTCGGGTTTTTTTGAAGGCACCACTGGAGTTGACGTTGAAAGCTGCTTGGCGCTACGCGTGCTCCACACTGAAGAAGGACGTGTGTGTCGCTCCCGGTGTGTTTGTCGACGCAATCGATGCGTACGTTACCTGCTTGTTATCTGCACCGGATTGCCTTCGGCTCGGAGCTGTCGGTGTCATGGCTGATCTCCAAGTGAAGCGTCTATGGTTGGAGAAGTGGAAGCAGGCATGTTTGAGGCTTGTCCGCTTATTGGAGTGAGGCGACCCGGTGGATTTAGCGTCACAGATGCTGCAGTGCGGTTGGAACGTCTAGCTCTTTTCTTCGGCTTAGATTCGGAGCTTACTTTGGCTGGGTGAGGTCTTATCGTGTCCATATTTGCATCCGTGGGACTGAGCTTAGTATTTACAAAATGGGCGATTATCTCAGTCATCCTATCGCACTTTTTCATGTGCAAAGATAAACAGTTGACAATTGGGATGACTTGACATGTCGGGCAAAACCAAATTGTGTCAGCAACTTGGTTTGTCTGTCTCACTTCTTGGACTGATATGCATACACATTGCGGACAATACTATCTAATGCAGCTAGAACAGGCAATACTGACCTTAAGGACTTTACTGCAATTGTCTGCGCAACATAGGCGACGTTGAACCATTGGAATGCTAGTCGTCCTCTTATTGTTTACAGCAAAGCCTATCTAAGCACTCACCTTGATGAGTGTGCTTTGCGCTAGGGGTGACGCACGAATAGGTCAGAACACGCACACGAATTGAGAGTTGTTCAACTGCACCAAGGTCAGGTGGTAGAGGAAGATGGAGGTCATAACGCATAGACGGGTTCAGCGATCAATCGACTCGCAGTTGAACACACACCCACACAAAGCGGCAGCGTGTGTTAATCGGCCTGCCTTAAGCGACGATGCAGGTGGAGCGCTGATAAGCGTCCCTAGAGCTGTTCAGTTGATGGGCGGAGCAAAAAGTCTGTAACTTTGTTATGCTACAACTTACAGGGATGGCTACCACGTAGTTTGGGAGCCCTCAGCTTCTTCTTCCGAATGAGACCAAAATCTTTTCCGAAAAACCGGTTTGATGAAGTTACACAAGTGGAATTGGGCAAAGAATATGCCGAATGCTGGGAACTGGAGCAAGAGTATAATCCACACAGGTTAAATCCAAGATTTGGGAAGCACTGAGTAGAGCTCGTCGAACTGGTTCGAACGAGCGCACGCACAATATTGTGTGGGGATAATTAGTGGCCACATAGGGCAAAGCGAGAGCTGAGTTAAAGTGGTGCCGCACTAGAACTTGTCACAGGAAGGTTTGTCCAAGGGTCGTACAAGGGAGCGTGCTCTATCCTTCATTTTCCTGCTCTACCTCAATGACCTCACCACATCGGTAAAACATTGTTCACCAAGTTTATCCACCGACGATGTCAAAATCGTCAGTAAGCTTCGGTGTGAAGAACTTGACGGAACGCTATTATTCACTAAAGATGACTTATATTTCCTTGAGGCATGGTGTCACTTGCGGATGATGAACCTCTTGGTTAAGAAATTAAGCATCATGTCTTACGGCTGCTCTATTCCTGAAAGATCTATTGGACTGAACAACGAACATGTCCCTATACAGCTGTGCATGTGCGATCTCGTGATTAGGTACGCATCAACCTTCAAGCTCACCGAATAGGCCAAATACTAGGTAGCACGTGCCAGACAATCTGTGTTCAATATCTCCAACAAAACCCACACAATTCATGCTAGAGTTGAGCTTTCTGAGTTATTCACCGCTCCATCCTCGAGTACTGCAGCATAATATACGGTAATATGAGAAAAAAGGAAAGAATCGCTGTAGAACACTTGGAGATGTCGTTTGAAGAACGTCTCTTCGGCAAGCACACTGCCATGAATTATCGACAGCGTTTCAACAAACTTCAACTCGACCCACTTTGTATTCCATGATTGAAGCACAACTTGCTGCTTTACGAGCTGCTACAGAGGAAAACCTATTCCAATCTATCTAAACTCAAGTTGCAATACAGTTCAAGCCGAGAGCTTCTCAACAAAGAGTATGCATTGAATATACCAAAAGCTAGAGCGAACAATCCCTCCTACTTCTTCCTAGTCAGATATGGATATCTGTGCAATTAACTACTACTCACACTCAGGTAATGTTACAGTGTGACAGGATTTAGTGACATGTTCTCAAGTTAACTTGACCCGAATATAATAATAAGTATATTCGCATGGGAGAAATCCCTTGATGAGCTATTCCAAGAGTGGTTTAAGAAAACAACTAAACACCAACGTTTCCAAACCTTGGCTTTCTCCTAAACCATCCGTCAAAACGCTACTATATGAATCGCCTGCCCCGATATTCCACATATGCATGGCGCCCGTGCAACAGCATGGTTACTTTTGTACGAATTCATACTTGTCCCCAGAGACACAGTTTCTCGGATCAGAAGCAATATACGTAGTAATATTATTATTATTATTAGTGCTTGTCCATTCCTAAGAAATCTTCCTCTTTGTACGAGGCCTCAGTATTCTTTTAGTATTCAAGAGATAACAGGGGATGATAAACGCTTTAATGTCTTAGGAAGAGATCCCATTTTAGGCTGCACTTGAAATGTTTCATTAATATGATATATGCAGCCTCAAAGCGTTTCCATTACTTCTTACTTAGGCTAACCGTTTTGGAAAGAGAAAATGAAGGCCAATGACAACATCTGGGATGTCCTAGTTCCAACAGTTTCGGTTGACGGAATGATAGGAATATAGAGACATAAGTTGAGTAGCAGGTTACTAGGGTGTGGACTTTCAGTCTCAATAACCAATAGAAGATTTGTGGGACGCGTAAAGCGTGCATGCGTTTAGGCAGAGTTTGACCTGTTTGTAGGATCGCTGAGTACTTCGTCCTTTTAAATGATATTACTGACTTTAAGACCACTGGTGTACGTTCGAAAAAACGATTCCTTTTCCACCGAAATTTGTACAGTCGAAGATCTTCGGGTAACCCGCGGTTGTAGGAAATCATACACTGGCCAGGGCGAGCTAAATCATCCTTGCGTTTGTGATTGGGAGAATGACTCAGTTGGCAGTCTACTTAGCACCGATGCAAGGCTCAGCCCTTGGCTCGAGTGCGTCCATCATTAATTGGATTTCCTCCTTAAGTATTTCGTGTGGGATTGCAAATTCGTAGGATACTTTAGCATCAGCCAAGTACTGTGCAGCCTGAACAAAAAAAACAAAAAACCATCACATAAATAATTAACTACTTTCTGCAAAGAGGTTAGAAGACTCACAGATAAACAATCATGATTCACCGTGAACATGATTTACATACGAATATAACGTGCTTGCTTTTGCTTTGAATATCTCACCCACCCGGAAACTGGTTACATTACAGGAAAGTGGTAGAAATTGCAGCTTACTTCTTGGGCTAAACCGAGAATCAGGGCGACCCAACCGGATCAATATATATATATATATATATATATATATATATGTAGATATACATAAATATATATAGTATATCCAAAATGGATAGAGAGAAAGTGTGTAAAACTGTAATTATGGGAGTAGTGTTTCACTATATGTTCACCATAGCGCACGGTTCGCAGTTCTCCAGATTGCTTTCCTGTTTATCATTTACACCGAAAGTAAAAAGACGGATGGTGTTAGGCGGCTCTGTCTCACACTACTGGTAATACTAAATTTGGTGAAAGTCCGTCGTACACTCACACCAGGCCCGAGGATCGAGAATAGATGAATGGAAGATTGTTGATATACTTCTCGGGTAATCCTTCTCGGTAGACAACTTCAGACAGCAGTTCGGTCAACTGCGTCATCCGCGACTCCTATCTCAAAGAAGACAACGATCGCTGGTCGGCCGAACATTCGACAATGCTTGTCGATCGATACAACTGCCACAGCGGAACCCAATTTGCTCTTTGCATGCGTTCTGTTCGCATACCAGGCTGTGCGTCCTTACAAGCAGAGCGGCGAGTATTTTGGACTCAAAGCAGATGAGACTAATCCCTCTGGGATTAGCACGCTCTGTTCAGACACCGATTTTAAAGACGGGACGATATTTTCTAGGCTCCAATCGGACGGGGGCGCTTCGGTTAGCCAAACCTCTTAAAGGGAGTAAGTTGACTGTCGAACAAGGGATAGACTCTGTGTTTGAAACGAGCCAGAGCGAGCTGGTCTGGGCCAGGAGGCGAAACTCATAAGCAACCTCAGCCTCAGATGGTGGTGAAGTGTCCACATACCAGGCAGCACTCTAGCTTCCTGAGTGAGTAGGTACTGGTGCTGCTGATCGATTAAACTGCTGCCCAAAATGCTAGGCCCGACATACAACTCGACAGTGCTGACCGTGGATTCGCCCTTGGTTTCGCCCAAAATCTCGCTTACAATCGATCTTTTGCCACTTGTGGATTAGATCAGGATAAAAAGCTTTCGGAAATTTTCGGAAGTAGCCGGTTGCTCCATCTCAATAACGCACTGAGCTCATTAAGAATCGCACTCCCCCCGCAGGAGCTGTTTAAGTTCAGCCTTGGTAGTCCCGTGCAGTAAATGATACCCAACGCCAACACGAATTGATCGACGAGGTTTGAGAGGCCGGGTGGATCATGCAGAGATCCACTGATTGACAGGATTCCTGATGAAACCACAGGCCAGGGTCGCAGAGTTATGCATAACATCACGAATGTATGAACAGTGCTTTTCAAAGTCTGAGCATGTGATGCTTTTGAGATTTGGGGCCAACGCATCCTCCAAGGCGCTGAGAACACTCGGGACAGCAAAACCTACCCACTTCAAGCCGTTTCAAGTGACGCTGTTGCTAGCCACGAAAATGTACAGCGACCTTGGCTCACATATGCGCGTGATCCGAAGTGAGTGATTTGTAATCCTGTATGCAGGTCGCGTTGTGTCCACGGCTTGGCCTGTGAGGGGGTCACCAGGTGGCCTGTTGGCACCAGAATCGCCAAAAGCTAGTACTCTACAAGAGGTAGTGGTGCTCGGCGTGAAGCTGAAGTTGACAACCACCGTTGCTTGTTCAAAGTACTATAACCATGTGGATCACCGTGTTCAAACTCGTTGACTTCAAGTCTACCGACCTGCGCGTTGAACTCCTCGGTAAGCACCACGAGGTCTGTACGGCGCTTTTTTCAGAGAAGTTCGAAGAGTTGACAGTAGAACTCGTCTTTAACTGACTCCGGACTCAGTTTGTGGGAGCGTACGCTGCTACAACGAACAAACATCAGCTGTTGGTTCCGCAGTTGAATAGTTGCACTGAGGTTTCAGTTCGGATCTCGCAGTGTCGACTGTTGATAGAGATCCAGTCAAATAGCGCGTCCTCAGCACGTGTGCTCAACACAGTTCATACGACCGCAAGACCAACCGCTTCGGTGGTTGTGCCTCCAGATAAGCGCAATGTAAGTGCCAGCGGAACTCTCAGACCGCAAAAACCGGTCATAGCGTCGTGCTAAGGTCCTGTAATCGGGTTTCGGTGAGGTAGCAGACATCAGCGGCAGTTATCTCCAACGTGTGAGCAAGGGCAGTCTTCGATCTGAGTTGCATCAGCGTTCGAAACTTAAAGGTTACCAGTTTGAATTGGGAGCGAGGTGCCACAAAAGGCTTGTCAATATTGCTTGGTGGCATATCCTTTGACCTAAGTGCTTGATCCGTATGGCGAGAACACTCACTAAAGAATACATGGTGTTGTGTACTCGTAGAGGGAGAGGGATTACTAAGGATGGGGGAGTTGAACAAAGGTTAAATAAACTAACCGAAATGAGGTGCGGTAGAGCGCAACATAGCATGTTCGGCGACCAACATATCGGCTGAAGGTAGCATTGGAAAAGAGCAGGGAGAGTGAGATAGAGAAGAAATTGTTGAAGCATGGGTCTATATGTTGTGTGGGCAAATAGCTACCCGGTTGTCAAGTTCAAGGGGGAGGGTTGACTTAGGGGATGTCTTTGGTCTTTAAGACTTGACTCGCAAGGCAGTTTGGTGACTGACGTATGTCGCATACTGTTGCGAGCCGGCTACCTTGATAATGACAACACGGCTTTCGAGTAGGAACAAACTACTCAGGACACCCACGAAGTTCGAATAAAGCAACAAGGTGGCCAGGAGCAACTTTCCGGATAACTGAAATCGCAGAAGAGCACGGCCACTGACATCCAGGTGACTTATACGCCCTCGCAGAAACCGGTGGCCATCGAGGTTGTTCATCCGCCTTCCGTGAGATACTCACTTCTGGTCGCAGAAACGAGTGATCTGTGACCATATAGCCGATCACATTTGCTTTGGCAGAGCATCTTAGGAGCTCTTGTAGCATTTAACAAGGAACCAGGTGAACAGCCTAGAACCTCCCACGTTCTAGGACGCGACTGTTTATTATCCGCGACTGTTTCTTCATTTCGTCTGCGAACACCTGAGACTCATCCACAATTACGTTCGCAAGGAAGGCGTTCTCCGATCCGCAATCTGGGGACGCATCCAGTGGCATACAACGCCACCGAACCAACAAGTGGTCGGTTCAATTCCATTAAAGAAAAGCAACTAACGAAATATAACATCCCCAAGTAAATTTGTCGAGCAAAAAGATAAATGAGTTTGGTACGTAGCCGAGAACAGATTAGAGAATATCACTTAATAGTAAGGTAGCTAGAACATCTCAACACACTTTGGAAGGGAGCCTCTACAAGGAGGCGTGAGCAGTTAGACTGATATTAATCATAAACAAATCGGTTTTAAAGATTAGCAGGAAGGCAATAATAATCAGCTAGCACATTTAGCTTTACTACTCAAGTGTATAAATAGCTTCTCCAAGTGTGTTTAGTATGCATGTACCTACTTTTAGTAGTTCAAATCAAGTTACCTAATTTTTTCAAGACTAGGGTTTCAGGTAAGGTTAACTTACTTTGCTTCTCCGATCCGAGATAAAATTGAACATCGACAAAGCGAGAAGAAGTCGGACTTTTGGGTCTGGTCTTCCGAGCCCATGATGAATAGGTACAGATGTTTCTAGAACTAGACGTTGATGACGATACTTCTCAATTGCGTACAACATCTTTTCCGCTTCAGCTTTTTGTGCATCATCTAAAGCAAAAGAATGAGTTTTATATTTACAAATTTATGGTGCGAATTTGAAAAGTAGACAAATCCAGAGGCAAAGATGGTTAGGTGCAGATTACTTGGCAGTAAACATAAAAAAATAATGTAGCTACACCTACCTAATGTTTTCATTTTTTCTTGTGTGATTTCCGCCACAACGGCTCCTATCCCCTCGGGAATTACTGGACGATGCGTGACGGCACGCACGATCTCAGCCAAATGGACGCACCAGATGTCAACTACTCTGGCATACAAGCTGTCGGCAACAGCCAGTTTATCAGTTGGCGGTGTTAACGGCTGCTCAGCTCCAGTATGTACGCAAGGGGGACCCGGCACACAGCAGTGAATAGCTGATAAGGCAGTAGTTTTTGGAAATGACTGTGGGACTCCGGGTATCTGTTGGGCTGCTGATGGACCTGTTGGAATAGGTGGGCCTGAATTATTTTGTGGGTTGTTCAGTGTTTCCAAACATTTTTCTTCGTCTCTCTTGTGGATTGCATGAAATACTTCCGCCATTTGGAAATAGCCACCCGCCGTACGAATATGATCAGTGCCATATTCACAGGAGGCGTAGAATATCTATTGAATAAACAGTCGTGGAAGTAGGGAGTAAATAACGATTACTGGTTCTACAGTAAATTCGAAGAAGGGCTCAGATGCAACCCTTCTGATGGAGTCCTAACTGGCTAAATTTGAACACAGCTGGAATGCTACCGATAAATTGTGTGTTTCCTAAGGTTATGACAAAAAATAAACGCAAAAAAAGATTGTGGGCGACAAGCAGGTTTCTCTAGTATATTATATTTTCCTATGTAAGACACTTTATCCTGCCATCGTTTTTAATGATTAATTCATTTCTTTGTGTAGTTTCATGTCTCCCTGTAACAGAGGTACAAAAAACCAAAGACATTGGGAAGGTCGAACCCCAAATAGGAAAGATCAGTGCGCACCTGTTAGACCTCTAGACATTATAGTAAATAAAAACAAAAGCACTTGAAGGTCCCAGGAAATCTTCATTCAAAAGCAGAACCATTGGAAGCTGGTTTGAGTACCATTCGGTACATAATAATAATAATAATAATAATAATAATAATAATCCATTTTGTTTCAGAAAATTCACTTTTTACTGCATGAGCATATGTTTACAGGTACATTTTATCAAGACATCAAAAATATATGCTTAATGTAGGTCAAAAACGAATCGCATTATCATGGATGATTTCGTTGCTGAGACCACTAAAATTTTCTTCATAATTTTGTCGCATAGTGTGGATCAGTTGCGTTGTTTGGAGTAAAACATCGTGTATATCTTGATAGTGAAGCGCTTTGATGTTTTCTACGAGCAAGGGATATAGTATAATTTTGGAGTCCAGACCGTTTTCTGTTCCCCTGGGTAAGGGATGATGGGCAGTTGTACCTTGGTAATAGAGTAAAGTGAAATAGTTCACTTAAATACAGTGAAACCTCCGTAAGTTGACCACCTGAGTGACCGGACCAAAGTGGTCAACTTTGAGAGGTCGTCAACATACGGATATTCTATGCCAAAACTCGGCGCAACCTACTTTCTGTTAATGAGTAGTATAGAAGGACCGTTATTTTCAGATAAACCCATTTCGAACACATTTGATGAGATCTCACGTAATGTCAAGCGCAGTTCAAACATACAGTGTTATAACAACACAAAACGCAACATGCAATTCTCGTTAACTAATTTTTTGAAAGAAAAGCCGGTCTTTGTTTCTCTTATCACAATGGTAACCGAAGAAAGCACTCTCAGCACAAGCTACACTACTCAGCATGTTTGAACATTTTCCCCGGCGAATGATTTCAGTTATATTGTTCCGTTGTTCTATTGCTTTTCATCAGTAGCATCAGGTGAGTTATTTGTTTCCGTAGGAGAGTGTCGCGGTCAGTATCTCTTGGAAAATAGAATCTGGGTGTGGTTCAGTGCAAGTTACCAAGTATTCATCTACTTTAATAAACCAAAATCTACCCCGTCGAATTCTGCCAAGTGAGATTGAATCTAGTTAGGCGACGGCGTACCGCTCGAGAGATTGTACAAAGTTAACTTTTCTGAAACACTTTTGTATGATTTCTGGATGAACTTTGAACTAAGCGGAACTTATCCAAAGGACAGCATCCAAGGCATTAACTGTAGCAACAGAAGAAGTTCTTTCTGCATGAGAAGGGTTAGTATGCCATTTTGCCATAGCCCATTGCATGAGCTAGGCTTTGTAGTGCATTTTGAATATTTTGATGATCACTTGGTCCAGAGGTCATGTTTGAGGCAGAAATTTAAGCGTAATATTTGTGAGATTTTTTACTTGGGTGTGACTAGAACAGTTGTCCACTCTCAGGATAATGAAGCGTTTCGTCTCCTTCATTTATTTGTCTATGTTTCTGATTCACTCCTCAAATATGGCAGAAGCCATCCATGCAAATGTGATTGATCTTCAGGTGACTGGATGGTTTTCAGGATTCAGGATTTTGTACACGTGTGGTCTACCTGATCTACCAATGACTAAGGGCTTTGGCTTCTCCCCACTTGCGCACAACAGGACTGAAACGTTCTTTAGAATATCTTACTCCCTTACATTTGTCACCGTTTATAACAAGCTTTCTGTTAGACATCGCCTTGTTAAAGAGAGTGCACTCGTCAGCGTTAAAAATGTCGTCATAGTTGAAGCTCTTGCTGAAGTTAGAAATACTTCGATGAAGAACAAACTCTACAGGTACTACATTGGATTCAACATACAAAATTCGTTTGAAAATTTATGTCTGACTTTGCATTTCTCTAGCCAATCATTGGATGCCTGGAAATCTGTAGCGCCAAATTCTTGTGAGAACCTTTTAGCAGTTTCTTGAATCTTCGGCCCGGAAATTCGAGCGTCACCTGCCCACATTTGCTTGAACCAGCGTAGTGTAGCCTCACTGACTTCATTGCGTGAAGTATTCCGCCTCTTCCGCTGTTGCTCTCTCATTATCGTATGTCTTCAAGTACTCGTGTTTATGCCTTTGGATATTGCTAACTGTTGTCTTGCTAACACCAATATGCCCTGTCGTGTTGCCTTGGTTACTACGTTCCAAAAAATGTGGCAGACTAATCTTTTTCTTCCAAGTCAACTCTGTCTTTTCTTTGGGTCTTAATGTTGAATAACTCGTAATCACCGACGTTAATTTGTTCAAAACACACAATATATCTGAGGTCTAAGGTTTAGTTACGTAACAATAATTACATACAACAACTAACCTCAGTTGGTTTCACCCTCAGGCCGACACCAGATAGAGCCGCATAAACGCTGAATAATTAGTGCGGGCGTAAACAACAAGCTGGCCACAATCCAAGGGGTTAATGAACTGGTGCGTAGACCTGGTGGTTAATCAAGGGTTTGATAGTCACTCAAATTCCTGATTGTGGTCTGTGCGATGACAGCACATGTTCTTAGGGATACACGAAGGCTTGCCTGTAGACAGGTGAGGTAAGTTGAACAAAAGTCGTTCTAGGTCAATCCGTGGGCGCGGATCTGTGGGGACCCGCATTGATCTAGGTCAGGGGTGTCCAAACCATTTGCACGGTGGGCCACATTTTGTGAGGTAAAAATGTCGGGCCATATTCAGCCGGACTTTGGACATCCTTGACCTAGGTAATACGTGTGCGCGTAAATGCTGACGGCCGGAATAAACACGCAGATCCACATACCCACAGTGAACATACTGTATACTCAAACGTAAAGTCCACTGATCTGGAAATCGAAGGCCACACATAGCTGCCCCGCTGCACACCGTGTTATCGGAAGCAGAGAGCCATTCGCGAACCATTGGATGGTAGCCCTCAAATGGCCAATTTATGGAGGTTAAATTATTACTGACTGTTGTAGCCCAAGTGGTTGTAGCCCAAGTGGTCTGATTCCATAGGATTTACATGGTGACAGTACAAGGCATGAAAAAGTGAATATACGGAGGTGACCATTTTTGGAGGTTTTGCTGTATCATGTTTTCATCTATCTTATCGAATTCAGAATAACAGGGACTGAAGGACTCAGATACGCCCTTTATAGTCTAGGAGCTGCATATAGCGGCCGAGACAACAATGAGGAGACAGTGATATAGAGGTGTGGGAGGAGAACTTGATTTGAATTTCACAATCAGGTCAGGTTTGTTAGTTTAATCGTATGGCATGTGTAGCTGAATAAAAATTAAACGGGAAAAGATTAGAAATAGGGATGAGTACGTGTGAAGCAGAATCGGTTATATTCACGTTGTTAGCCACATGTTTGCATTTAGGTCACAGTGGAGGTGAGGTCGAGTAGAGTAGGATGAAAGAGAACCGCGAATGAATATGTACAAGGTAAATGCAGTCGGCATATCTTTTCCAACTCATACTTGCAAGTATGACTGCAAGGTAGGCATGGTTGATTAAACAAAACATGAAGAGTGGAGACAAAAATGGGCAACCAAGATCAGTCAGCAATTCCTTTACAAATCACAGTTTTTGGTGTGGTTGTGAGGTGTGCTTTGCTGAACAACGGAGTAAGGAAGATCGGACACATAAGTGATGGGGATTCGGTAGACTTTGGAACTCACATGTTTGGATGCAGTCCCTTAGGGTAGTCCGTCTAGGTAAAGCCATTGTAGATGGAACATTTCTTGCTTACCTGTCTCAGCCATCTGTTAAAATAATACTCGCTTCATTGAAATACAATTGCGAAATGTTCTTACGCATTGTATTGTCAGGCACACAGAAATTGCCTTTTTGATGTCAATTGAGGCCCGCAGACTCTTACTTCAGGTGTGGGTGAAACCTCGCGAGGGACTACACCGCATGGAAGCCGGTCCCCGGAAGACGGTTCCACTAATGACCGTTTTACTTCACTTGTTTTTTCTTATTCTACTTCATTCTGCACTGAATCTGGGGCTCTTGGTTCCTGGTTAGTTCATCTCTACCGTCCTACTGTCTTACAGCTATTTCCCATTAACTTATTCCTTAGATCATATCCGCGTACTTTGTTGTGGTACACTTCTCCATACCTGTACACAAAATATCGGACAACTATTGCACACTTTCTTAATCACTCTGTTTTAGGCATCTTCTACAAGAGTACGAGCCCTGAATAAATCCTGATTGCAGTGAATAGGCACTTATTTCTTTGTCTACTTATCCTTTTAGTTCTCCATTTTCAACATTATCTTTACTGTGCATAGTCAGCACGCCCTAAATATCCATCTACAAGTGAAAACTGGAAGGAATACAACTGAGCTCGCCCAGCATCTCAACCATCTGGCAGTCGAAAACACAACTTGCTTAGTGCAATTCCATACGCAGACCAAAGAATGTCTGGACACTACGCTATGCTTTAACACCCTACGATTTGAATAGTGCCTAAATTATTCTGATAAAGCAACTTCAGTTTGATGACCCACTGGAGTTACCTTAATATAATCTTTTGCTTATTTTCGCAACTCCAAGTTGCCCCTCATAACTAGCACCAACTGTATTACTCCGGTCTATTAAGCAAGATTGTGTATGACTCGTCTGATTTTGATAGGTGAATCTAGCTGTTGCTTCATTTTCATACACC